GGAATGTACAGCGGATGTAACAGGAGGAAACTGTATATGCTAGCGTGAAAATGTTGGGATCAAATTATGCAAATAAGTCAAACTGGGTTTGGGGATATATAAAGCAAGATGAAAAATGCAAAAGAATATATATTTAGGTGATAAATAACGCTAACAACGATGTGAAAAATTATAACAAGTAAAACAAAAACTTACGCAATTGACACGAACCGGTTTTCGAAATATTATCCTTTTTCAAGTGTCGAGGAATGGTTATGAAATGACATTGAATTTGCGATTTATATAGTAGTCAGTTAATACAGGTTTTTGATTTTCTAAAAATTATTGAGTGAATCATGTCATATCTTTGATCAGTTGAGGATTAGGATTATTTTTGATTTCTTAATTAGTTGAGTCATATCTTTGATCAATTGAGGATTATAGGAATATTGGATTAGATTTTGATTATATCTGAGTAATAATTCAGGAGGATTAGATTATCTCAGAGTACAATTTACATAAATGAAAAACATAAATAATCAGAAATCAAGAATACAAAAATATAAAATAAATAAACATGAGAAATATTTGATAAAATAAGCGGGATTAGTGAATTGTAAATTGATTAGAACTAACGTTGAATTTTGATTATACCCGAGAATGTCTCCAAGAATTTCACATTTCTTCATGCTCTGTAGGGAGCGGTTCGTCCCAATCAGTTCCCGATATCCAATTCCGTAGGAATAGTTTGCCTTGTACTACAACGGGAGCAGAGAATCCTAAGGGGTCATATAAACTGTTAACTGTAGATAACAGACCTCTTCTGGTAAAGGGTTTCACATCGGATGAAATTTTAAATGTGAAGGCGTCTAGTGCCACATTCCAACAAATTCCAAGACTTCGTTGCAAGGGTGGATTACCTCAGATGTTGAGTTCTTTAAAATCCTTCGCTAAATCGTTCGCGGGAAAGGCTTCCATTACAGCCTTACTATTTGATGCGATATTTGTACTCGTAGATTTCCTTCTTTCAATCTCTGCATGCTGGTTGTCGAATATTTTCTGCATAAATTCACGAAATTGTTCTTTCTTTTCAGGATTCTTTTTCAGGCTGAATTCCAATGAAGTGGTTCTCTTTAATGCACTCTCTCTATTACTCGGCATAGGTAGTCTATCTTTGCGCAAAGGCAGGGGAATGACCCAGTTTCCAGCTGCGTTCTTGGTAATTCCATCATCAACAATTTGCAGAAACTGTTTATCTTCCACCGACAGTCCCAGTTTGTTGTCGTTCCGTGTTCTCATGAAAACAGAGTTTCCTAAATCGTCTATAGATTGATAAATATTGTCATTAAGTTTGAAAGAATTCTCACAAGGTTCAAATATTGACGGTCGATCGTTTTGGAGTACAAAGGTTTTGTTAACGTTCACTGTATCAGCTAGATGGATCTCACCTAAGCACACCTCTCCAATTATCACCCATCCTAAGGGTAGCTTTTGAGCAACAGGAGTTTCTGAAGGTCCAACACACTGATCTAAGACATGGTGAGCCTCAAGTAAATCACGTCCAATTAAAAGTAAAATGTCTGCATTGGCGTTCATATTGGGAAGTTCTACTTTATCTAAATGAGGGTAATAGGAACAAACTTCAGGAGTTTTAATTTCATTCCTGTTGTCCGGAATGTCATTACATTCGATCAGCCTAGGCAAGTAGAGTTTGGTGCTGTAATCAACGGCTTCTATCATATATTTAGCACGGGTACGTCGTCCAGTTGAAATGAAGTGACCAGCACACGAAGATAAGGCATACTCAATCTCATCTCCTCGTTCCTCAAAGTAATCGAAAAATTCTGTCTTGACCAAAGATTTATTGCTCTGGTCATCGATCAAAGCGTATGTCTGTAAATACTTATCAGAACCTTCTTGGTATACATTCACTAAGACTGCTTTAGCACAGGATCTCCCATTAAATGGTTTCTCACAAAGTTCAGTACACTTTGAGCTCACATTTTCTAATTGTTCATTAGTTTGATCTGTTGAATTGACGGAATTCTCCCCGCCGTGATCGATCACAGTTTTGGAGTGTGTAGTTGTGCTGTCGTCCTTAGAGTTATGCAGTGCAGTTGGATGTTTAGCACTCTTGCAAACTTCACATTGCACCTTAGCTGTACAGTCCTTCGCCAAATGGCTCTTTGGTCCACAACATTTAAAACATAAACCCTTCTGAAACAAAAATTCCGTTTTGTCATTAGATGGTTTCATGCGAAAGAATCTCCAGTGGTGGATTGATGAATGGGACAAAGATCCTTTGAGATGGATTTGCCACGATTTGGTTCGGTTACAGTCTCAGTCTTTTTAGTAGAGATATCCATATAATCTCTCTTCGAAAACGTAGTTAGAGGTTTGGTTTTAATATGCGGAGTCGTGCTCTCATAATGAAAACTAGGATCGTTTTTAACCTGAGCAAGATCTCTTAAAATTCGGCGAAATGTCTAAAAGGTGGGTAAGCGACCTTTTACCTTTTCTTATACTTAACAGCTTCACGCGTCCATTTTTCTTGATAAGCAACTGGTAGTTTACTTACAATCGGAGAGACTCCAGTTGAACAGTCATAATAACTAAATAAAGTTCTATATCTATCGTTCTCCTTAAGAGATTCTATCTCTGACACTATATCACATAAATCATACAGTCGTTTATTCTCTTTATATGTGATTGTTGCGAAAGATGAAAGTTTATTCTTAATGGCTGATTCTATTAGTTCGGGAGATGCATATCGATCGCTCAAACGTTCCCAAATGCGATTTAGACCTTTCATAATATTGCCAGGATTGGCAGCTTTTAAACTTAGTGCTTGTTTGGAAGATTCTGGACCTAACCATTTTATTAAGAGATCAATCTCTTCTAAAGGCTTAAGATCAAGATCAGATATAACATCACAAAAACTTGATTTCCAAGAGCTAAAAAATTCCGGTTTGTCATTATATTTTACCAACTTAGAAAACAATAAATCTTTCTTAATCATAAGCTTAGCAATATCAGTGTAAGCTGGACCCTGAGTGTGACAAGGGAGAGAACTACAATTATTAGACACGATGGGTAAATGCACAGAGGGGCGTTGCATTTCAACATGCTGTGTTGGTACAGGTTGGAATGGGGTTGCACTTGGTGGGTTCAAGTCAGCTTGGGTCTGCACAGGATCGGGGGTACATAACATTTCTGAAATTGTGGGGGACAAATTGTTCATTCTGTCCACATTAGTTGAGTGTTGGTATTGGATTCGACCAGGCACTGTTTGTATATCACGTGGAGTGTCCTCCCTAGGAAGTAAACCATTTTGAGGCGATAAGACTGGCATTTCACCATATGGAGTCGATGATTTCATAGCGAAATCTCTTGTTCTTGTTTCTTTCACTTCTCTTATATCTCAATCACTACGACTGCTGCTACTGTCTGAATAGTTCACCATTTCTTCCATCGCTTTGTATTCAGCTTCTGCTACGGAAGCTTCTTTTTCATGTTGAATTACGGTCAAATTTGCATCGAGTAGCGCCTGTTGTTTCTTAATGTTAGTTTCTCTCTTAACATACTGAAGGCGAGATTTGGTTGCTGCCATCTTAGCCTTTGAAGTCATTAACAGGGTTTGACTGCCATGACACATTTGACGTTCTGGAACGTCCAGATCTGGATCTTGAAGGTGTACGCTCTGCCTTGAACCTTTCTTCATCAGTGAGTGTCTTCCCATTGTTGACGCGTTGTGCGGGTGAAATCACGTCGTCCAAATCAGTCTGTGAGGTTAAGCTTGCCATTACCAGAGGTTTTTCACTGTACTGTTTTAAGCTAAATACAAGTACAGATCTTATGATTCTTCTCATTTTGTCAATATAATAGGCCCAGCTTACATGTGAAAATTAAAGGTTACACCAAACGAAGTTCACATGATGACATGTTTTAAACTGAACACAGATGAAATAATAAACTTTTAGATACTTTGCTAATTAACCAAATCTACAATAACATAAACTGAAATTACCCTGTGAGAGGCAACACTTTCTGAAATGTCTAAGAATATGAAATAAAGGATAAAATGGCAATGTTTACATTAATGTACTTCCATAAATTGGAGAGTTTGCTAAAGGGACGCAACTTTATTTAAATCAAGACAACAGTAATCGTATTGTTCCATCACATCGAATGACAATAACTGTCAGCTCATCATAATGATTTTTAACTAAGTTGATAACTTCAAATCTTCAAGCACTGAAATGTGTATGTTGTTTAGAATTATCTCCAGGAAAATACGGCAATTTTGAGAAAAGGCGGTGGTATAACGAAAGGGAAGCGTAACAGAATCAGCTTGATATTCTACATCCAAAACGAATCATAAAAATATGTCATCGTCAAGATCGTCGGAATCAATGTTTAAAAAATTGAATAGTTACGTTTTATATACGTATTACATCAAGGGAAGGAATTCTCTGTACTTGTTTTGACCACTGTGAATGGTTATGAAAACCTTTTAAAAACTAAATGTAGTTGTAAGTTTAGGACAGTTGTAAATCCGTTTGAGATGGACCATAATAAGTCTTCGGATTACTATGATTCGAAGCATTGCACGGAGGTACAATAAGTACCTCTCAATGTAAGAGAATACCCCATAGACCCTTCTCTACTTTTTCAGTTCGATTCCCTCTAAAAGCATGCTCGCTAACCGAAAGGTCCAGGCTTCAATTCTCTTTACCGCTCTATTTCCTCTCTTTCTAACTGCCCTGTCTCTATTTCCTTTATCTCTGCTGCCGCACCGTCTCAATTTCCTTTCTCTCTAACTGCCCCGTCTCTATTTATTTTCCCTCTAACTGCCCGTCTCTACTTTCCTCTTTTTCTAACTGTCCCGTCTCTATGTCCTTTATCTCTGCTGCCGCACAGTCTCCATTTCCTTTCTCTCTAACTGTTCCGTCTCTATTTCTTTTCTCTCTAACTGCCCAGTCTCAATTTCCTTTCTCTCTAACTGCCCCGTATCTAATTTCTTTCTCTCTAACTGCCCCGTCTCTACTTCTTTTCTCTCTGCTGCCGCCCCGTCTCTATTTCCTTTCTCCCTAACTGTCCCGTCTCTATTTTCTCTCTCTCTAACTGGCCCGTCTCTATTACCTCTCTCTCTAACTGCCCCGTCTCTATTTATTTTCCCTCTAACTGCCCCGTCTCTATTTCCTCTCTCTCTAACTGTCCCGTCTCTATTTCCTTTATCTCTGCTGCCGCGCCGTCTCCATTTCCTTTCTCTCTAACTGCCCCGTCTCTATTTATTTTCCCTCTAACTGCCCGTCTCTATTTATTTTCCCTCTAACTGCCCGTCTCTACTTTCCTCTCTTTCTAACTG